GGGTGGGGTGGGGTGGGGTGTTGGGCGGTTCAGTCCGCGGCTCGCGGTTCATCGGTCCAGTGCTCTGAGCCAGTGTCGCTTCGCCTCTTGAGGAAAGAGTATTCTCGGGACTTCGGGTAGCGCCAGTGACGAGTGCGAAAGTTTCACCGCGTTCATTGATCTCGTGGCTTCTACCGCGCACCAGGTCCGTGCCCTTCTGTTTATTTTACGTTCTCGTCTTGTTTATCAACTCACCAAAGTTTACTCAGGATCACTCATGAACGCAGCGTCCACTCCGTGTAACCATCCTAGAGTCAGTTCTTTTTTTTCATCTCCTTAATCGGCAGTTGTTATGTGCTTAAAAAAAAAACAAGGAGACCACTCCCCCTGGCCTCTGGCCGCGCATCGCGCCCTCATAAAGGCCCCCTTTCGCGGCTCTTCTTGAGTTGTACTCTGCATAGAGCGTCCTGCAGTAGGGACTATCTCCTATCGATAGCCGCAAAAATCAATAAAATCGGCCCTTCACATGAGATCTTCAGGACGAATTGTGACGAATTTTACACTTACATGAGAAATTTTAATCTCAAAATCAATTTATCGCTGAGAACAGCTCTAAACTGCCCCTAAGACGCCGCAATTTCTCAACATTTTTGGGGGAAGGTCCCGCCCCGGGCTCCGCTAGACTGGTAAATCCTCGAGCTTCCTTTTGGAGCTGGGGAGGCCCACAAATCATCCTTGATGGAATATTTTATATAGTGTTTCCTAATCCAAACCTCCCTCAGCAATATGTCCGTCTGGCACTCCGTCCCCCACAAAAAGCTCCTATAGTTCCGCTCACGATTGGTGGTATTTTTACGAAGAGCGGCAAGGATTGGTTCAACAAAATTATCCACCCGGCCGCTGTAATGTCCATTGTTCCAACTTATGTTTGCATTTAATCAGAGGAGAACAGCAATTGAGCAGCATTATCTTCTCTCTACTTGAATCTGTGTTGAATATAATCTATTCTTGTTGGAGATGCTAGCCCCTCCGAGAATCAATTTATATCCATAGGTTCAAAATGAAGAGAGAATACGACCACAGGCCAATGCTTTGGATGCTCTCTTTCGGAAGACGGCAGCGCATATGGCAGAGCGAGCGGTCGCATGTCGCATGTCTAGAAGGGTCTCTTGTAGAAGCAATTACAAACGTCCTATTGTGTTCCTGGGTAATGGTAAACCCTACAGTTCGTTGGGCCTGCAGACATCGCCAAATTCAGATGTGTAGATCTAGGTGGCTGGCATTACTGGTGGCTTTTCTCCAATTTGAGCTTTGTTGATTAAATCGATTCTTGTTATAGCATCTCATGGCCGGCCCCTCTGAGAGTCGATTCATCGCCATACCTATGTTTAATTGGAGGGAAAGAAATGTTTCCAGGAACTTGTTGGGATTCGCTACATCCGCAGGGAACTAAACTACTCATCCGGGAAAGTCCGAGGACTTCTTTTTCCACGGCAAGATCTACCTATATTATTTTTCAGTCCGGTGGTTTGCTTTGGGTCTTTAGAAATTGGGTAAAAATATGTTATACCAAAGAAGAAGAAAAACTCCTTTTTTTCCGAGTCCCAGAGAAAAATTTAGTTCTTCCAACAGCATCTGGACGAAAATGAGAGGAAATCCTCGATTTTGTTTTAGAAATCAAGGGAAATCGGGAAAACTTTTGAGGTTGAAATGTAAGTAAAGGATTCGAGACTATGTGATGAAGCAAAAATGTTCTACAGCAGAATTTTCTGAACCCCTCTTACCTTGGCTAGGGGTGCAGAAAATGCCTGATCTCGCAATCCTAGGGTTGCGACAAACTCAGAGATAAGTACATTTCGAGAAACTCCTTTAAAATGTTCTCTGATAATTGAATTAAGTACATTTTCATCATAATTTATAAAAATTATATTATAGCCAGAGTATGCAATAAAACGCATCGGATCAAGAAAAGCAGTGTATTGAATTTTTTTTTTTTTTGGGGGNGGAGGATCATGAGTGAAATTTTGAGGTTTTCCATCGAACTCTCGAATAATTGTTGCGATTTGCACACACAGCCCCTGAAGAATTATTGGAATTACATTGAATTTCCTTCACATCTCTGCGCAAACGAGAGGCAATTTTCTAAAGTAAGGACTTGTTTTTTGTCACAAGTGACTTCGAAAACGTGAACCAGCAGCAAATTTTACCGGGGAATCGATACATTGCCAGAAAATAGGACATTAGGCCATGAAGGTTTCTGCACGGCAGCAAATATGGTCGGCATTTCGGAACTTTTTGTGTCCGTGCGGGTTGATTATTGAAATTTATAGATAGAGCGACGACAAAGTAGGTGAAGAGAAAATTGGGCGATCCTATCCGTGGAAGCGGGTGGTTGCAATGGATAAGGAAGTAAGTAGTTGACTAACCAACGGCGACCCTCGAGAGACCCCATTATAGTCAGTCCATCACGTTCCTCCTTGCAACCACTCGTTGCAAGCGCTCCATTTTTCTGGAATCTTCTTTGTCTACCGTTTTGCCCATTGAATTTTAAAAATCAGCCTGTTGCCATCCTCCTTTCTAGCCACTGTGAAAGTCTTGACAAATCCGGCACCCATGGTGGTCAAGGGGCGTCTCTGTTCACCCAGGCGAACTTCCGCCGAACTTAGAACGGACCAGTTTCAACTGATAAGGAGCGGGGTACTTTCCAGATTGTTCTGCAAAATCGACACTTATGTTACACACATCTATGTAAAATGTTAGTTTTTTGTCACAAAATCTGGCAACACTGAGGAGCCTGATTCAGCACCGAACTTCCGTACGACTCCCTTGGCACACCTCATTTCATTCATCAAAGTTGAATTTGTCGACTCGGGTGACGGAAGTCTCAATGGACCATCAGGTAGATAGAGTCTGATTGTGAGCCGAAGTGCTTCAGGAGATACGTGTTTCACCGTCGTAATTTGAAGTGTCATTTTTGGAGCTTCATAAAAATAAGTAAATTTGAGAGCTCCTATCTAAATCGGGTCGGGCTAGCTGCCGCATGTCGTTTCGACCCTATGATGAAGGAAACTAAAGGAACGAGAAATACACTTATACTCAGCCAAGGAAGAGCATCTATGCACACATGTTAGCCAATGGTTTGATACTCGTGCTAATTGATCTTTCTTGTTTTGTTAATAGGCACCACACCGATTCCATGACTTCCAGCACGTCAACACCTCCCGAGAGGGAGGCAAACAAAAAGCATAAAGGTAATAATATAAATATTATGTTGCATACTTCAACTTTTCATTTAAGTACCAAGAATAAGTTTGTCCTAGGTGGACATATCGGCGGTGTAAGTCGGCAATCACTTAACTCGGTTTGCGACGTCGCAGACTTCCTCTCGTACTCTCTTTTTTAAGCGGAAAACTACTCAACGGCGATTCTTTGAAACTGAAGATTTTTCTTCTTTGTGCGAAGAAAATTCTGCATAAACTTCAAGAAATGATGTCTATATGTTCTCCTTTTAAAAAAAACGCACACTGGAGAATTTCAGGCACCGCAAACGAGATATGTGATTGCAAACTTATGCTGTCGATATTTCAACTTAAAAATCCAATCCAGCCAGAATGACTATTCGCCAAGTCAGCTATCCTACCATCCTACCACCCACCTTACCTCGACATCAGACGCCCCCCTCCTGGGAAGGGATGACGAAGATCCTCTCCAAGCTCAAGGCAATGAAGAGAAAAAGGAGATGCATGGAGATTCGGCTGACACAAGAACCCTTGCATATCGACGGTGTAAGTCCGCAGTCACCTATCTGTTTGCGGTGTCTGAAAATCTCCGCCTCCATGTTATTTTTTTTAAAGGGGAACAAATCGACATCATTTGAGCTTTTTTCGATAAAAGGGCGTATTCGAAAAATCACAGTTTTGAGAAAAACGCATTTGAAAGTTCAAAACGTTTTTATATCCGACACTTGTGAATATTTTTTAAAAAAATGAAAACAGGATTACAGACCGGCATTTATTTTGAGTAATACCAGCCAAAATTTCAAGTACCTAGCACGTCAACTTGCTGATATATTATGGATGCAAGATCAGTATCTATACGCCCTTCTACCGTAAAACTCTCTTTCCGCCAGTTATATTATAAGTTTACCACTGCTCTTGCATTGATACATCAAAATATAATGAAAAATATAAATAAATAGTGTTAAAAACATTTGCTGGTTTTTTCATTTTGATCTTACTTGAAAAAATCAAATTTGTGCGTTTTGAAACTCAAGATATACCCATCTTTATAAAAAAAATAGAGAGAGGAGCGAAACCCTGTAAGAAAATGTATCTAAAATTTCGGCCTTAAGCTGTAAGCATTCAAATCATGGAAAATCATTGAACAGTCATAAAGATGGCCGACCAGTCTTTGAAGATAGCTGTGTCCTAAGTCGTCCAGAAAACGTTTGGTTTTTCGCGGCATTCGGCAATAATTCGCTAATACCGAATCCTCGGCGGTTTCGATTATCGGTATATTTTTCATAACGCGGCCGTGCACACCAAAATTGCGATCGCCTCTACGTCTCGTCCACGGGATTTCTCCCATGTTCGAATCGCAGGAATGAATCTTTTGGGCTTTTTCCCCATTGATAAACACTAAAAAATTTCTTCCTCTTTTTACGTCATTTCTGGGACTCCCCGAGGACTTTTAGTTGGCACTGTGATTAATATTGACTAGGTAACTCAATGTTTTTCTCAACTTTGCAAGTGAGATTTTTCCCTGGGACAAATCCCATGATACCACCCGTGGAGGCAAGGCCCAACACCATAACTATATTCACAAATTGGGAATACGTAATACACGTGTTCTACCTCCACATTGTGAACTTTCGCGAACCAGGCGCAGAATGACAACATTGCGAAATTTCGATTTTGACCCGTAGGAACATCCGGATAAAATGATGCCCTTTTGAATTCGCGAGTGTTCAAAACTTCATCAATAAGTGTTCCAAACAAGACTGAAATCACTGAGGGTCATTTTCTTTACATTCGTCCCCAAGAAAATGCAAGTGATAAGAACGGGAACTCGGCGCGCGCGCGGCAAGATAGAGAATACTCGCCGCACCTCGGCTCCTGGCCGATGCATGAACAAGCGGGATCGTTATTCCTGCGAAAAATAGTTTTCCGTAACCCGCCGTACATGACTCAGTTGACCACAGGAGATTACCCGGGCTCGAAGTCATGTTAGAGAAGAAAGCCTTTTCCCCTCATTGATATCGCATCTTCTCCGACCGTATCTCTCACATCTTCGTTTCCCCTCATTGCAGCATGCATCAAATTGCGATTATCCGGAATTTACGATCACACGTCATATCTGATCGAATCCGTCGCCCACTCACGGTTCGTTTGAACCAAAGTTAAATGAAAAGTCGATGCACTCATGATTTCTCTTCAGAACCTTGAAGTATGATGTAAATACATTACTTTAAGACCAAAACGAAAATATTCTGTCGAGCTCTCGGAAAATAAGGCCGATTTAAAGGTTTTTAGCCCTGAATCGGCTGAAAATTGCTGATTACGGAGCAAATATCCAATAATTATGGCTGTACTCTTTGTTTTTTGAAGTTGCGGGGGCATCGAGGGTAGGAAAAGGCCTTTTTCTTCCTTCCCCCCCCCCCCCGCCCCTCGCTCCCCCCGGCCCCTTCCATAAAAAAACATTTACACCCATGCACTTGCATGCGCTCAAATTGCGATATGCATGTCTTGCTAGTTTGAGTCGGTGGATTGGACCCAAAGTAGAATACCGATGACCAAACTCGAAAATTGCACAATCGCTTATTGCAACGTTGCAGATTTCCTTCTATTATTTTTTACGGCCGAGAATTTTGCAGAATTTCAAGGAAAACTTCATTCGTTTTTTTTTTACAATGACATTAAAATTCAGTGGAAGTATTTCTCTCAAATCTTTCCTATGGTTCGTCTATAAATAGAGAAAGTAGAAAAATATACGAGCAGAAACTCTGAAACGTCGAAATAAAGATGCGTTCAATATTTGAGTTTACCTTTAAATATTCTTTAAAATGTATTAAAAATACAGCAGGATTAATTGGAATATTTGAAGAAAAAAAAGTCTTTTTCACGAAAATAGAAGGTTAATTATATTGAAAGCATTTGAATACTGTGAAAAGAAACAACAAGGTCTCGGCTTTTATAGCGAGCAAGCCCCTGAGAGTGTCCATCAAGATTTTAAAGCCACATGCCTGAAATACAAAATAGCAGAAACGAACCCTAACTACTTAACTCAATTGTTACGGGCAGTTTGCGAGTACAATTCACTGCATTTGTAATCTTGTAGGTATAATCATCTTTACTTAAAATTATACAAGATGCTTAATTACTTTTATAATTCCATCCTCAAATGATTTTATGTGATTTTAATATGATTTATGCTGCTTTGTCGTCCTGTATTCATTGTTTGCTTATATATGCTTCCATTCACAGTAGATTTTATGCTTGATTACAAAATTGCTTTTCTGCCATTCTAACATGATTTATGATTTGCCATATTTTTTTATTCAAATGCTTTCAACATAATTAACCTTCTATTTTCGTGAAAAAGACTTTTTTTTCTTCAAATATTCCAATTAATCCTGCTGTATTTTTAATACATTTTAAAGAATATTTAAAGGTAAACTCAAATATTGAACGCATCTTTATTTCGACGTTTCAGAGTTTCTGCTCGTATATTTTTCTACTTTCTCTATTTATAGACGAACCATAGGAAAGATTTGAGAGAAATACTTCCACTGAATTTTAATGTCATTGTAAAAAAAAAACGAATGAAGTTTTCCTTGAAATTCTGCAAAATTCTCGGCCGTAAAAAATAATAGAAGGAAATCTGCAACGTTGCAATAAGCGATTGTGCAATTTTCGAGTTTGGTCATCGGTATTCTACTTTGGGTCCAATCCACCGACTCAAACTAGCAAGACATGCATATCGCAATTTGAGCGCATGCAAGTGCATGGGTGTAAATGTTTTTTTATGGAAGGGGCCGGGGGGAGCGAGGGGCGGGGGGGGGGGTGAAGGAAGAAAAAGGCCTTTTCCTACCCTCGATGCCCCCACAACTTCAAAAAACAAAGAGTACAGCCATAATTATTGGATATTTGCTCCGTAATCAGCAATTTTCAGCCGATTCAGGCTAAAAACCTTTAAATCGGCCTTATTTTCCGAGAGCTCGACAGAATATTTTCGTTTTGGTCTTAAAGTAATGTATTTACATCATACTTCAAGGTTCTGAAGAGAAATCATGAGTGCATCGACTTTTCATTTAACTTTGGTTCAAACGAACCGTG